GCCGTAGAGGAGCGTGCCCCCCGGCTCTTTCGTGATCCACTCGATCTCCGTGTTGCTGAAGCGGGGGTCCAGGGGCTCGCCGTGGCCCGGCGTCTGCTGCGGCCCCGCCTTGTAGGAGCCTGGCCGCACGCACACCTGGAAGCCCACCTGGGCCTGGTGGCAACGGTGAGAGCGGGGGTCCCGGAATCTGTGTCGGGGGGGGGGGGCAGTGTATTAGAGACCAGCATCCTTGTGTATAGGCGACACGGGCGCAGGAACACTTAAAAAAACAAACAAACACATTGATAGCACAGCTACAATCTGTCCGTCCCGTCCCAGCAACATCGTTTTCAGCAACCACAATGTCGAGCTCCGTTCCGCACATGTTACAACAGCACGGCGTCATAGTGAATGAGGGCTTGACTGGCATGCCGGCGGTCCAGCCTCCCAATGAAAGTGGGGCGCATTACGAAGAGCAAAACGCAACAACCGAGACGTCGGACTATTGAGCCACTCAAGTCGTCCATCCAGCATGGAACGGGAAAGAATTCTTCCTCCAAAGCTCCCAACGCGTGTCCTCGCTTGGCCGAATTGAGTCAGGCGAAGAGCAAAGACGGTGCGAAACCTGGCCCCCGTGCCAACTTTTTGGAAGATGAAATATCTTCTCTGCTGTGGCGTATTGAATGACATTGCGGATGCACACCATTTGCAAACGGTGGCTCCTTCAGCGATGTTGACGCAAGGTCCCGACTTCAATGGAATTGGGCTTTCGGAGTGCTGCTGCTGCGCGTTTAAGTGGGCCTCGTGCGTTGTGAACATTTGAGCCTGAGAAATATCTCGTCAGTGTGGAGGAGGAAGGAGAGCGGAGGTCAACTTACGGCACTTTGGGAGCAAACGTCTCCAAGCCGGAGTAGCGCATCGTGGGCGAGAGCCTCACCCTGGGCACCTCCCTGCCGGGGGCGCTGTTCTCCTCTGGATCGCCGTAGCCGTCCGGCTCCTCCGCCTTCGCCGGAGCCACCGAGAAGATGGACGAGGCCCCTGCGGCGACAATTCATCGGGACGCTCAACGGCGGGTGAGGCGACGGAAAGAATGAGGGGCGCTAGTTGCGACTCCCTACCGGGCAGCAGCTGGCTGTGGTCCAGTGTGCGGCGCAGGGCCCCGACGCTGGTGCCGTGGTACGCCATGTGCCATTTTTTCAGTGCATTGGAAACCTCACAGTGCGGCTTGATCCTAGGACAAAAAAAAAAAAAAAAAAAAAAAAAAAAAACGGGAGGAAAGAGCCAAGTTACCGTATTGGCCCGAATATAAGACGGCCCTGATTATAAGACGAGACCCTCTTTTTCAAGACTCAAGTTTGAAAAAAGACTTTTTGAACACCAAATTAATTTTTATACAGAAAATAATTCCAGTACATCTGAAACAAATGATGATAACAATATATTTGAGAGAAAAAGCATGCTATTTTGCCTCATTCAAATCGTAATATCTGAAAATTTAAATATGTAAACTAAAGTGCAATCACATTCGAAAATGAATGGCTTCTGGTTTTTGAAATATAAATGACATCATAACTTCTCCTCAGCTGCAGGTTAACCTGGCCGATCTCTGACCCACTTTTCTCCAGATTGTCGCTACGTTTCTCCATTTTCTGTTATCTCTTCTATTATTTTCTTTTTTTTTTCTTACCGCTATTTTTTATTTTTCTTCTTCGTGCTACCGCTATTTTTATTTTTATTCTTTGTGACAGGGATTCAGCATTCGCTTCAATGATATCTGGCGCCATCTAGCGTCGCGAATGGGTATAACGTCTAGACCCCGAATATAAGACGACCCCCACTTTTTCAGTCTTATTTCAATGCAAAAAACAGCGTCTTATATTCGGGCCAATACGGTAGTTTCGCGTTTTAACCTCAAGCAAATGTCAAGTTGGGCTGAGCAAGTCACAAAAAGTTGACCGGGAGCATTTCAAACCATGCTTGAGGGATTTTTACAGTAGAAAGTGCTTCCTTGACTCATGAGTTGAACCAACTCAAATCACTTGTATCTCAGAGCAACTTTCCCACTTTTGATGTGTTCCAGCTTCCCCCCCCCCCCCCCCCCCGCCCAAACAAAACAAGCCCCGTTTCCTCTCACCTGAGGGCGAAGCAGCACCATCCGAAAGGGAGAGCGTAGTCCCGGGGCGGCTCTCCTCTCTTGTAATAAGCCTCGTCCCCCCGTAACTTGTGGCAGGATTCGCAGTAGCACAGGTTGTACTTTGCATCTTCACTGAAGTACCCGTCTGACACCGCGGACAAAATGAGGATCGTTACACTGGACTCGAGGAGTTCAATGGGTACTCGTGCCTTTCTTCCACAACCTTCTTGCCGTCTCTGAATAGAGTGAAAGTCACCTGGGAGGGTGAGGAGGTCCTTGAAGCGGGAGCACAGTGCCTGGTACTCGCAGGACTTGTTGGGGTTGACCTCGGGAGGGGGTGTCCAGCACACGCTCTCTTTGATGCCTGCACGCCAAACACAAAGCAAAGACATCTTGAGCCCACCTTGTTGCTGTTTTTTTATTTATTTTTTGCTCTGCAGTCACGTTCAGAGATCAATTTGAACTTGATATCAAAGACATGAGCAGGATTGGGCCAAACACTCGCGTGACGGTTTACAGTGGATTTAAAAAGTCAAGGTTTCGATAACCGCTAATCGCACGACTCTCTCAGTCTTTTTTTGTCACCCGTCGCAGCTTCTTTGCCACGCGTTGCTGCTCTAAAATTCGAAGCTAATCATTACTTGCTAGAAAGTTGATCAGTTTGACCATGAAATGTCTTGTCTTTGGACTGTGTTCAATTCAACAGCGGTTGCAAATCGTCGCGTTCCGTTCTGACCGAAAGGTCCCGACTCGATCGGACTTGGGTCTGTATCAATAAAGTCGATGATAAACATTTGTAGTCTTCTACCGTCAACCACGTCCGCCTTCTCCATGTCGGCCTGGCAGCGGGCGTCGCCGCCTTCTCCGCCCACAGCCGGCAGGCGATTCGTTACGATCGTCACCTGACGGGATGACACAAAGTCAAGTTGTGGTGAATTCCTGCCGGTGAATTTCCCGCCGCGCGACGTGACGCGCACCTGTTCGCATTGGCCATAGAGGTCAATGAACGGGTAGCAGGGGGAGGGAACGTCCTGCGCCGCCACCCCTTGGTCCATGCCGTTGACGTAAAGGTGGAGGCAACCGTTGGCGTCCACCAGCAGACCCAACGCCGTGCCCTCGGGACACGTGTCCAAGTTCGGACCGTAGTTCTCGCATATCTGAGGAGGAAGACGGCTCGCGGTGAATCGGCGGCCACGTTAATTCCGCGGGAGCGCCGGCGTGCGCGTCTACTTTGAGGGAGTTGTGGAAAACCGAGTCCCTCTGCAGCAGCCACGCCGAGCGTTTCAGGCAGCACGCCGTGGAAGGGAAGTTGAGCCGGTCCGGCGAGTGACCGATCACCCCCAGCGACAGCGACGACGTCCACGAGGGGTTGAGCCGGTCGATCTGAAACTGGACAGCAAAGAGGAAAGAGTCAGGAACGCCGGAGGAAGGCCGAGCGCCGGCCGCTGCGCCGCGACGGACCTGGAAGAGCTGCTGCTGGACCAGAGGCTGAGCGGTGACCAGCAGGCCCTGGTTGTAGCTCGACACTCGGGCCGCCGTCAGCCTCTGGTTGGACAATTGGATGTTCTTGCCGTGGTTTTCCAGGAAAGCCATGGCGGTGGGCACCGCTGCGCACGGCTCACCTGCCGCCTGCACCGACTGCGAGAGGCAAAGAGACAGTCTCACTTGCATTCACGCCTCCCGACAACTGAGACGATGCGTCTTTCTGGGAATGTGGGAGGAAGCCGCAGGACGCAGTCAAAAAAAATTCTAATTCATCGGCTGACAAATTGGTTCTCAGCATATGATTCTGACGAATTTTGGAATTTCAAAAAAATCCCTCGTGGTCGGGCACGAGTGAAAACACCGCTGACGCTCGTGTTCATTGCTTGTTAGCATTCGGCTAACTAGCTCGTTGGGATGTAAGTTGAGTTGTCTGGCCCGTAGTCAAGTTTTGGCTCACAATTCAAACTGGTCTCAACTTAGTTTAGTTTCTGTTTTTATTGTGGAGGCCGGGAGGGGATATTTGGAATATTTGTTGAGCGCAAGATAAATAAAAAGGCCACTTCCCCGTACCTGGAAAGGCAAAATCATGTCGCGTACCTCTCTGACCGGCGTGCCGTCATCCTCTCCTTCACTGCAGCTTTCCGAGGAGAGTGACGGCGCTTTAATGGCTTCCACGTCCTCAATCAGAGTGGAGCTGACGACGGACACGGCCGTGATCCGCCCGTACAGGTCCAAGACTGCGTACACGTTCTTGGGGGGGGACAGGAAACGCTTCACGTTATACAGTGCAAAGCTGGCGAGTTTTGAAGTGTACCTTGGCGACTGCGGTGGCTGCAGGTCCCATGTCCTCGCCGTCAATGAAGACGTGCATGGTGTCATCACCGCATCTCTTCACACCCACACGGTTCCCAACCTGGGAAAACAAAGACATTGGCGCACGTCCAGGGAACCTTTTGCGGTTTAGTGGCGGCTCGCGGCTCACCATCAGCCGGTCCAGCGAGCGGCCGTAGTTCTGGCGCTGCAGCACGCCATTCCGACGGACCTCGGAGCCGCAGAGCAGCCAGGTGACCTTGGTGCGAAGCTGCGGGAGAGACGGGGAGAAGCCCGAGAGCGGGCACGACGGGAGCTCGGGGGGCGGCAGCGTGGTCAGTCCCACGTGCAGCGAACCGCACCACTGCTCGTCCATCTCGTCGATCCGCACCTGCAAAACGGGAGAGAAGCCTCTTTGCAGGTGTTCACAATGGGCGCCGGGGTACTTCGCGCGGCCGACGATTGGGCTACCTCAAACAGCTCATCCACTTTGAGTTCCTTGCCGCTGAAAACGATGCCGTGGGCGTAACCCCCGGCTCGCACGGCCTGGCACCCCTCGCCAAGCAGCACCATGTTCTTACCGTGTTTACCGTGGAATCTGTGGGCAACTCCCGCAGCTATGCAAACCCAAACACACACACACGCACACACACCTATCTATCCCTCTCTCTGTATGTAGCAAGGTCGTGATCAAATAATTTGGTTCCAAGATCCGATATCTCCCCCACCTGGAGAGTGGATTGGGAAGCTCTTCTCAGTGATGTTGCTGGTGCACAAGCTGTTGTCCAGTGGGCCAGAGGAGCTGGTGATGGACACCTGAACGCACTGCCCATACAGGTCGATCACTGCAAACACATCTGGAGGGGAGGGAAAAAAAAAAAATGAATCCGACACTTTTCGCAAAAGTTTGAGCTATCTGGCCTCGAAAAGCTGCAAACGTCAAGGTCCAGATTGTAGTGAAAAAACCAAAACCAACGCCTTTTTGTCATGTATGTTCCAACTGTCTGTCCGGACTATGAAATCTTATCAAAACGTGATTAGTTGCAAGCACTGGCCTCGAAGCGACCAATTCCACGAGGCTAAGTATACGTTTCAATTGATGGTAAAAAAAAAAATAAATAAATAAAAAAATACAATGTCAAACCGGAAACATTTTGTGTTCAGTGAGACGAATTTCCCTTTTCTCTGACCTGGCGGCAGACCGGAGCAGGCGACACCTTGGTCGGCGCCATTGATGTAATAATGCAGGTCACCGACGGCCGAGCGCATCATGCCGATGCGCGAGCCCGACGTCAGTGAGTCCAGGTCGCAGCCGTAGTTGTTGCGCATCGTGTTACCGTCCTGCATGATGGCCGTCCCGCTGGGGGGGAAAGAATCCGAAAAAGTCAGCTTATGGGACTAACGCACGCGGTTTGAAAGCTCCACTTGGATACCTGAGCATCCACGTGTCATAGTCGATGTCAGTCATGGTGTTGGGAAATTCAAGCTCTTCTGGCCTGATGGCAGTCACCCCTACACACACACGCACACACGCAGAAAATGGAATCTCTTTGGTCGACTCGACACATTCGGCAGGGGCTTAAAAGAAGAATTCTGTCCACCGCTGACCCGCTTCTATTGAACCTGACCAGCGGTCCACCATCTTCTGAATGATGATTTCAAAGAGCTCTCCGTCACGAAGGCACCTACGAAGGAACCGGGGATACAGCGTCTCAGTACGGCCACGGACGAAAGCGCCATCGCCGTCCTCACCTGTTGGAAATGACAATGGCGTCGTTGAACTCGCTGCGGCAGTTCTGGCGCAGCGCCGTGCGCCCCCCGTTGGTGATGACGGCGTTGGTGCCATGCAGGTGGTGGAAACGCAGATCGGTGGCGGCGCCGGCGCCCAACACCGAGCAAGGGCTGCCGGGGGACATGGCCGAGGGCCCCTCGGAGCTCTCCTCCGGAAGAGGGGGAAGGTCCACTGAGCAGCGGAGGAGCAGAAAGGCCGAGGCTCGAGTTTCCAAAAGGAGACCATTTGGCCGTCGGTCGCGGGCCTCCCGCTCTCACCCATGTCGTCCATAATGGTGGCCTGAGCGGCCTGTCCGTAGAGGTCCACCACGGCGTAGACGCTGGGGGGCACGTTCCACGCCGCCGGGCCCTGAGCCACGCCGTTGACAAAGAAGTGGAGGCTGCCGTCCTCTTTGCGCACGACGCCGACGGTGTCGCCCGCCTGTGAGAGCCGACGACGTTGCCGAAAGGAACAATAGGCGGGAAAAAAAAAAAAAAACACATTTGCAATGCCATTTTCGGGAGCACCCGCTAAATCCGCAACATATCGAAAAGGGCCGGGGCGATTTGGATTGTTTGGGGGAGGCTGATGACGATTCCAACATTTGACAGGATAGAATTCTGTCGACTGATTCGTGGAGAAGAAAATTTGGTGAAGAAAAGAACTTCTTTGGGTCCTTTGCAAGCGCGTGCATTGACAAGCACGCCCACGACGGTGCCTCAGAGAGAGCACACTTGATAAGCTTACCACCAATTCTTCAGCAGAGCTGCAAGCAAAATGTCATCGGCAACGATTTTCCGGTATTTCCTCAAGTGACGAAGCACGCCGGTGCAATCGTTACGCGTGCTGAAGTCACGGTTTGCCAAGTTTGTCACCTTTGGGTATCCGCAGCACAAAGATGGTGGCCAAACATGGCATTCTCCTCCATAACATGTTATTAGCGATGGCTTATTATTAAAAAATAAACAACATATTTTAACATATTGATTGGCACAACTGATGTTCGCCGATTCTTAATCAACCAGGCCCTACGATTGAATATCAATGTTTTTTTACACACTTTGAGGCGGTCGAGGTTGTGTCCGTATTCATCCAGAATTGTTGTTCCATTGTGCATCACTCCATTCCCTGTCATCATCCATGTCCCTGGAGACAAAAAAAAAAAAAAAAAAAAAAGAACATTGGAACAGCGAGCTCTTTCCTACGCTCTGTTCCTTGACATTTTGGTTTTACCTGAGCGCAGGTTGGTCATGGTGGAAGGGAGCTGCAGGTAGGCGGGATTGTGCGTGGTGACGCCGATTTCGATGGAGCCCGCCCACTTATCCACCATCTTGTCGATACGAACCTGAAACACTTCGTTGGAGCGCAGCGGCCTGCTGCTGAGGACCACGCCGTGATTGAAGTCGTCCGTGGCGCTGTTCGGGGGGGAATTACACACGCGAGTCAAAAAAAAAAAAAAAAAACCCAAAAAACGGGAAGACGGGCAAAGCGAACTTACTGCGGCCTCAGCGCCGTCCTGCCGTCGCTGATGATGGCGGCTTTCTGGCCGCAGTTGGCGTGGAAGAGCAGCCGCTCGGGCGCGTCGGCGTCCGGGGTGAGAGTGGGCCGGGGCCGCCCCACGTCGGGCGACATGGCCCGCATGATGGCGTTGTTGCGGCGGAGGCGCTCGCTATGGTTGTGGTTGTGGACAATGGTGACCTTGACGGCCATGCCGTAAAGGTCCACCACGCCGTACACCACGCCGGGGGTCTGCGCCGCCGCAACACCTTCAAAGGGAGAGCACCTATTTAATGGCGCCGCACTTTGGGGGCTCACTCAACTATTTGGACATTTAACAGCAAAAAAAACTAATTCCACCGGACCAAACCGAGAGGACGTTTGTTTCTGGGGCTGCGGGGCTGTTCGTTCAGCTCACCTTGGTCGATGCCATTGATGTAGAAATGAAGTGCACCGCTGGCTTTGCGCATCAGCCCAATGTGATCGCCCTCCTGAGAACCGTGACAAAAAAAACAAAACAAAACACAATGACACCTTGAGCCTGATCTTTCAAGGGGACTCGTTGCAACTTTGGAATGGCCTCTGTCGAAATAATTGCGTCTCTGCGGCTATTCTCCAAAAAGAACTTGAGCTCACAAATTTGTTTCATGACGCCACGTTGGCTCATCGGCTACTAGCTTTGCAGTTAGCAAACGTCGCAGGAGTGGGAATGCTGTGTTGACTTTTCAATTTCCCCCCCTCTTGTTCAAGCCGCTCTCTAAATATTGCTGCGCCGCGTCCAATCTCCCGTCATAAGTCGCAGGTGCCGTCGAGCCAATCGCAGGAAGACGCGTCGCACTGTGCGGCAAGACCGAAAATATGAAAAATAAAATAAAATAAAAATCGGACTACGATGGTGTCGTCTGATGTCAGCGGAACTTTACGGCAGTAAGATAAAATCCTTGTCAAAAATCAAACAATTTTTTTTTCTTTTGTGGTGTTGAATGTTTCAATGTTACGAGTTTGTATGTGTTCATTTTTTTTTTTGTGCTTTTTTTCCCCCATCCGATTTGGCAGGGACACATGAAATCAGAGCATCACAAAATAAATGCGAGATATACTGGATTATTTTGTCTTGGTTTAAAAATAATAAGAATGTATAAGGCAAATAAATAAAGTTGCTCAAAATACTTGGCGGGAGGGTTCCACACCTGCAGTTCATCCAGGCTAAACTCGCAGTATTCCCGCCTGGTGCCTTTGCCGTTGGTCAGAATGCCGCAGCCGCTCATCATGATGGTGCCTGCCAGCGGTGGGGTGACGACATCCGTCAGTTGCTCGCTGGCTTCGCTTTGCCGCGCCTTACCTGAACGCAGATTGGTCATGGTGGCGGGATAGTCCAGATGGTTGGGGATGTGCGTGGTCACGCCGATCTCGATGGAACCCGACCACTTGTCCACCAGCTTGTCGATGCGGATCTGGAAAAGCAAACGTCAAGAGACGATGACGAAGGCGCATTCCGAGCGAGACGGTGGTCGCACTCGACAATGTTGTGCTCGGGGGGGCTACATTTGATTTGGAAAACTGCCAAATGGGTCGGCTCCATCGTGGATGACGTTTCTCATCTTTTTCAAAATCAGGCAAATGACATTCACCAGGACTAAGTGAGTAAACCAAACTCACGTTTCATTTGGATTCGTTTGTCATTTGTGAAGCAATGACTTCATTTTAATAATAATTGTCGTGCTTTTGCTGGATTATTCTCATCCACTTATTATTTGATATCTCTCAGTTTGTTTTTCCAAGTTTTAGTAAAATTGTTTTCAGAACAATAAAATACTGATGTGTTTTCATCACCTTATTTGTTCATTTCATTCGAACCGATTGGCAAAGAATATTTCTCGAACATCACTTTGTAAAAGTCTTGTTTGTTTTTTTTTTTTTTAAATGAACTAAAACCCAATGATCATGTTTTGTAATCCCCGACATTTCAACGATGTCATGACATGGAATCCATTGAAACAAGGTCGATGCGAAAGGATTTCCAGCGGGTTTTGCATTATCATTCCGAAAGAAGCAATTCTTTGTTGAAACAAACGTTGACGATATTGTCCATATCCAATTGCTGATTCCGATCATTAAACAATCAAGCATTCTTTGAATTGCATTGTCATTCATTGTGGTCACTGAAGCAATTCTTGGATCAAATATGTTTTCGCGGGTTATTTCACAGGAGAAAGGATTTTGAAAAAATAATTAGTCAAGAGTAGGCGACGAGCGATGTGGATGGCTTTGGCAGAATAAAATACTGACAAGCGACGAATCCGCCGATTCATGCAAACATGATATTCATGATCACTTTTTTTCGGCCCCTTTGAGAAAGATTTGAATCGCAGGCAGAGCGCGTTTGACCGTTTCACATGACGTCGTCGTCTTCTCCCATTCCTTTTGCTTTGCAAAAAATCATCATGGGCGTTTTTGCAGCGTGTGACGTTGCGCGCCGTCATCACGACACGGCTCTCACCTCGAACATCTCGTTGTGTCGCAGCGGCCGGTTGGTCATGACCACGCCGTTGTTGAACTCGTCCAGCGGTCGCCTCCTTTCCGCCGTCTTGTTGTTATTGCTCAGCTTGATCAAGGTGCCGCACTTCTCGTGGAAGAGCAGCGCGTCGTTGGTGGTCGAGCCGCCCGTCGCCGCGGCTCCTCCTCCCGCGTTCCCGGCGGGGCTGACGCTCGTGTTCCCGGCGTCCCCCGCTCCGGCGCCGCCGTCATTGCTCGGCGCGCCACCCCTGCCGCCGCTCCTCGCGTCGTTTCTCGACGAGGAGTTGTCGCGTCCCGTGGCTCCTGCGCCCCCTCCTCCGCCGCCGCCTTCGTCCCCTCCGCCCTCATCCTCGGCTCGGTAAAAAGACACGATTGCGTTGTTGAACACGTCAAAGAGCTGGTGCTCTGTTAGAACTGGCGAGGGGCGAGAAGAAACAAAATAACGAAAAGGGTCCGCGTCACAAATCATCCGCTGCCGCGATGGGCAGTTTCATACCTGCGTCTGGCCCCAGGTTGTTGGGCAACTTGTCTGGTCTGCTGTGACCGCAACGAAGCTCAGGCACTGACGATGACAAGACGACAAAAAAACAAAACCAAAAACACACATAAGATGTTTGTTTTCCCCAAATAGCGGGGCTGAGCATCCCCCCCAACCCCCATTAATATGGCGACGCAAGATGTGATTACTCTTTTCCAGAAGCAGTAAATGAATGTGTATGATAATACACAAAATGAGCTTTGAGCTTCACGATGCATCGATGTTTTGGTCTCATAGGCTAGCCTCGGGTGAAAGTAAAGGCAAACAAACGATGAATCAACTTTTCCATCCGCTTTATCCTCAGGAGGATCGCGGGCGTGCCGCAGCCTATCACGGCCGTCTTTGGGCAGTCGGCGGCGGCGGGGGGGCACCCTGAACCGGTTGCCAGCCAATCGCAGGGCACACAAAGACAAACAAAACACCTTTCGAGTGTTCTATGAACCTGTCAGGCATGTTTTGGGAATGTGGAAGGAAACCGGAATACCCGGAGAAAAGCCAGGCGGGCGCGGGCAGGGCATGCAAACTCCACACGGGAAGGCCGGAGCCGCAACCGAAGCCAGCACCTCTGCACGCCGCCTGGACCGCATCCTCCGTGAAAGATCATTTGGAACTCCGCGTGGCGTTGGCCGTTCTCTTACCTTGGTCTCCGATCGTGACTCCGTTCATTGCCGCCACGTTCATCAGCGCCGCGATGCCCACGTTCTCTTGCGCCCGGCAGACCACCCCATCGTCCTCGTCCTCGTCCTCCTCCTCGTCCTCCTCCTCTCCCTCCTCATTCCGAACGACAGTCTGTCGCTCTGCGGAGGGAAGCGGCGGCTCGCAGCTCACCACCGTCACCTGCGTGCACTTGCCGTACAGGTCCACCACCGCCCAGAGCTTGGCGGGCAAGCCGCTGGCGGCCGCGCCGCAGTCCTGGCCGTTGACCCAAAGGTGGAGCTCTCCGCGGGAGCTGCGCTGGATGCCCACGCGGTCGCCCTCGGCCAGCTGATCCAGGTCGCGGCCGTACTCCTCCAGCACCGAGCGGCCGTCCCGGAGCACCGAGCATCCCGACACGATCCAGGAGCCGCCCTTCAGGCCCGTGGCGCTGCTCGGGAAGTCCAGGAGGGCCGGGTCCAGCGTGGTGACTCCAATCTCAATGGAGCCGCTCCACGAGTTCACCTGCGACGCGGTGGGCAAAGGTAAGAGACGCGACGGGCAGCCGGCGCAGGACAGGAGAAACATTCTCTGCGAAGTGGAGCTCAACCGCTCCGACGCCGGACTAAAAATTGCAGGTGGACAAAAGCAATTTGTTTGATCATCCGTTGGGATATTTTTAGCGAGGGCGGAATGTAGCCTGCGTGAAAACAAAAAGAAAAAGCGCCTTAACGGCGGGGAGAGCAGCAGTATGGAAAGACGCAACGCTTTTAGAAAGTCAAGAAATGCTACATCGCATGCAGAACATGTCAAGTAAATAAAAATCACACAGGCCAATTTCAAGTGGACATATTGTGGGGTATGGACTTATTAAATATGGTTTTTGATTGATATGCTTTGGTCGCCTGGGCTAAGCTTACGCTAGAGTAAAGGCAAATGAGACATAAACTCAGAGGAATGATAGTTTGTCTACTTCAATTCTAGTCGGTAACTTCTGACATGTTGGCCCCCGCAAAGTCAAGACACCTGGGAACGGTTTTAAAAGGGCCCAGAAAAGGCAGAATGTCTCCTCTTGAGATTTAAGAGAAAACACATCAATCTTTTGCCCATTCCCCAAAATAAATACATCATGGCTCCATTTGTGGAAGCAAAATCTCTCAATAATACAGAGCATCTCACATGAAAACCCGCCTCACGGTTCGTCTCCACGCCAAAAATAGAAAGCGCGGCTCACTGTGATCCTGGATATGACGAGAGCATCCGCTTCTCTCTGGAGGTGAATGCCGTGCAGACAGGATGGCCGACAGCGCCAATCTGGACGCACTGCGATGGGAGGGCATTGATTTTTCGGACGGACTATCGGCACAAAGCCGATGAGAGGCTGAGAGCATCACACGGGCTGAATGGATTCTCACCGACGGGGCGATATGTGCACAATTTCGAGAGGAGGGGGGCTGGCGCCAGCCCAGTGGATCTTAAATTTCTGATTAAATATGTCCAACCGGAGGCACAGGAACATCAAGATGCTCGGAGATGGTCTTTTGGCTCTTGCCTTGCTTGAAACGTGCTGGTCGCTAATTTCCTTTCTCATCTCCTGGGACAACGCTCTCCGATGCTTCCTCTGGTCCGTGTTTAGTGTGGTGCACACAGCAAACAGCACCACGCGTGCCTACATGTCACTCTTGAGACGGGCTGACTGACTGACGACACGAGACGTTAATTAGAGGAGACACCTTGCTTGAACCTGTCCCTGTGGTCCAATGATTTTATTTTCTGGAGGTGCCATCATTTTTGTCCAGGCCAGTGGGCCAAAATAATTCTCTCCGACCACCGTTCAAAAGTAATGTCCGATTTTTCATTGACTTTCTGTCATGGCATTACTTTTGTCAGATTCGATTTGTCTGTCACAAACTGTGGGCTTTTCTTTCAGAAACCGAGGGGCAGTAACAAAATTTTGCGCACATGTGCAACAGTCGTATCGCGAATCAATTCATTTGCATCAAATCATTGCCATTAATCCGTTGCAGCCCTCCCAAAAGTCTTGTAAAGGGACAAAGAAGGAACCAAACCTCCATCGTCTCGTTGGTGGGGTGCCTTTTCACACAGCTATGACGTAAATGTTTGCTCGTCTTGAGGTAATTTAGTAAAACTTGATCGCTAGACTGCAGCAGGCTATCCATTTCGCTATCAAAGAGCACGCCCGTGCCATTGATCCAAGCAACAGAAGAGAATTTCCACCAGTCTCTTTTTGAACAGGCTTGACTGTTGCACTGTAAAATCTACCCGCTTCCATTCCATCCGTCTTCAAGGCCAGTTGGAACATCTCATTTTCAACCGACATACGATTCCAATGACAGTAGCGGAGAAAAAAAAGGTCAAAAGCATCAATCAAACGGTTTACCTCGGCTTACCGATCACTCTGCTTGATCGAACACAGAAGGGTTTGTTTTACTCATGGTGCCACCCGGAAGTACATGCGGTGACGTCATATTGAAAAGGTCCTTTGACCAAGACTTTCGCCGAGGAGCTAACAAGAGACGCCTAAAGCAGCAGCAGCAGCAGCAGCAACAACAACAACAACAACGCCGAGCTGCATGGCCGAGCTCAATTGAGTTCGTCCACTTAAATTGCACGAGTCAAAAGTCGCTTCGTGTGCTCGCACCTCATTGACATGGCTAACTACCACAATGTTTCGTTAGCAAAGGGACCACTAAGAGCATTCCCGGCAAGACGATATTTCAATACCAAGTAACAAAAGTCCTATAAAAGGGACCGAGTGGAGAGCCACGATCAAGCAGCGCAGTTGGGCAGAATGCCCCCGACTGCGGGGAGGGAGACGCAGACCCTCCGCCTCGTCCCAGAGACGGCGACGCGAGCGCTGCACTCGCATTCCCCGTCTCATCACCACCACCCCGCCCGTCCCGCTCCGAGCAAACGGCGGCGGCAATGGCGGGAGGCCCGTGGTGCTCCTTTTTACCTTCTTGTCGATACGGACAGTAAAGACGTCCCGGTCCCTCAGCGGCTCCTTGCTGAGCACCAGGCCGTGGTTGAACTCCTGGACCGGCTGGTTGCGCCGGGCGGTGCGGTTGGAGTTGGACAGGCCGACCAGCTTTCCGCTCCGGGGATGCAGCTCCGCCGCCATCTTCAGAGGGGCGCTAGTTTGCGCGACACTCAACTTGGTTTGCGGCAGTGACGTCACAGCCGAGGCTCATTTGTGGCAGCCGCCAGAATGTTGTTTACATGACTTTCGTGAGCGGTGATTTTTCAAGGTTTGAGTTAGTTTTTGTTTTTTTTAACTTCATCAAGGTTTTGACTATGATCACTTTGTGTCTTAGTATAAAAAAAAGTGTGCATTGTATTTTTCATCTCTTCAAATTCCATTTTTTGTTTAATTTCATGACATTTACATTTTTATAGCTATGTTAAAAAAATTTTTGAATCGTGAAACAGAAATACTAAATAAAAAAGGGGGTTTGGGCAATGTACATAAGAACAATTTGAACACAATGACAATTAAAAAGCCTTCTCCTTAGTGCTAAATATGGATTTGTTTCGTTAATGCGGTCATTTCTTCGGCTAAAATAAGTTCATAACACGTGTTTATTCATTTATCTCACAAAATACGTGTTCTTGGTTGATTGATTTTTTTTAATAAACCAAAATATGATTACAATACATAAACAGCGGATTTAAATTGAAGTGATACTACTTAAAAATGGTTATTACATTATTTTGTAACGAAACGTATAACCTACAACAAAACAAAACGTTTCCAGGATCACACGTTAACTACAGTAATAAAATCGAGCCACCCCTCGTCATTCCATGTTTTTCCTTGAGAGTGAAATTTTTCTTTGAAATGCATCAAGACCAATTCATATATATTTTTTTTGGAATAGAAATCCTACGAAGAATTATTAAAGCAGAACACTATCAACTATTGTTGTGCGCGAATGCATGACGTCACATAGAACACATTTTCAGAAATCCGCTAGAGGGAGCAGAAACGCCACACATTGTCATCTCAGTCTAAGATTACATCATTTTATTCACTATTGGACATGCTTGACCATGTCAAAGTCTAGCTAGCACAATTATCCCAAATATGTCACCGTCAAAAGTCTGAATTATGTAAAAGTCTTTGTATAAGCAAGACCGGATGCTTGTGGTTCACATGGGGCAGCTGTGAGAGGAGATGGACCAGTGTTTGACAGCCCGATCCAGGTCCACATCCTTTCCTTGGACGCGGACCTTCTCCAGGCAGCCTGTCAAGAAGCGGGAGCCGACGTTATCTTCACCTGAGGAGTGAAAGAAGGACAGTGGCGGAGTTAACGATCATTCGGCAACGACACATGCGCCGAGACGTATGAATTGTTCGAAAAGCGTGACCGAGACATGAAACGGTAACGTGGCGGTTATCTCTACTGAATTCCTCCTTCTTCTCCGTGTTGAAAGAGGCTCCATTAACTTCGGTGACTTTAAAATTTCACAAAATCAATCATGGCTGATAGCGTCTCGATGCTCATCTTTATCCAGAGTTGAGTTGAGAACTGCTTCAAACAAGCCGTACGTTGGAAAAGTTGTGAAGATCGTATAATTGTCAATGTTCTGTTGTATCAATATTTTTTTTCATTATTCTGTAAAGCGCTTTCTTACAGCCACGGCTAAAGCATTATAAAAAATAAAGTCGTCTTGAATCGTATTGCATTCCCCTAAGTGATGTCTGCCATCTAGTGGCAAATGGTGTTATTACACCTTAAAACTGACTGGACAGATTTGTCTCCTCGGGCACGTATTTGCTTGTGGATGGCGCAAATTGTAAGGGTCACAATCGTGTTCCCAGATGTTCTCTTGAGGGTGCTGATCCAGTGACAAGGCAACCGAACCCTTTGAGATGCTCACCAAGCGATTGTTTTTTGGAGCGCGCATAGGGAAACTTGCTTTTTACATCGGGGTGTTCCTGCTCGTATTTGTCGTGTATTGGGCAAGGTTCTGTACATGGATGCATTTTATTTCCTGAACGCCCGGCCGTGGATGGTATGAGAAACAACAACTTGTTGCTGTCACTGTACGGCCGAGCCTTGGTGACTTGTTGTGTCACCCTGACCACCCCGGTGAAAAGGTTCTGGCTTAGATGGGTTGCAACTCAAAGACTCGCCGGTAGGGTCATTCCTAAGTGGAGGTGTCGCCATATTTCTGAATCTCGATCTCACCGAGAAGGCCGCCGATGGCGATGTGGCTTTCTCTCAATTTGTTCAAAAGCCCGGCGTGCTTCAGCGGGCTGAGGATTTCCTTTGCTTCATGTCCACCGTGTCGCACTTCTAGTGAATCGCTCCCGAAGGTCATCTCCAGCCTCTTGAAGTTCTCTTTCAGAATCACCAAATGGCCACCGAGCAAGAGTGTTACTTTCTGCAAATCCACAAAACAAAAACCAATCTAGAAAAACGTCCATCTGTTGGGATCCGCTTCTTGCCGGAAACGTCTTTTCGCATCCGGATCACGTGCATACCTTGGTGTTATTATTGGCACTTAGCGCCAACGTGAGCGCATGGCCGGGAGTCCCGATGCTAAATATGGTCCCGTCCATTTTAGTGAAATCTCCCCAAAATTCGATCGTTACACTGCGTTCGAGGTCCGTCTGCAAAACTGCACAAGGGATAGAAAATGACAGTATCCATTCCATGAAATGACATGAATTGAGTCCCTCTGGTTGCGATTGGCCGGCAACCGTTTGAGGGCGTCTGCCGCCTACTGCCCGAAGACGACCGGGCTGCGGCCTAACCCTAACCCTCGTGAGGAGAAGCGGCCTCGGATAATGGACGGATAGATGGATGAGTCCCTGCGGTCCCGCCATTCCTGTTTGTGGTCCCACCTGAAGCGTTGACAATGGCCAATCCGTTCCCGGGGAAGAAGCTGCCGGGTCGGATGGTTTGATAGCACGGCCGCAGCTCGTCGACGTCCATCTCCCAGGGGATGCTAAGGTTCAGCCAGCTGCCCTCCCGCACGCAGGCGTCCATCTGCGGCTCAAACTGCCAAGGCAAAAATGCATTTTAAAAATGCCCGAACCGTGGCACTCCCATGGCCTCAAAAACTTCAGTATCCAAGAGGATATGTTGAAGACGCTGTGTTCGGTTGTAAAAAAACAAACAAAAACAAAAAAACTGTGAACTTTGCCATACTGATGCTCATTAGCTCACTGGCTATCTAAAGTCATTACCAGTCACCTTTTCCGTAAGTGCTGATGTGGGTGGCCAAAGCGTGACTTTTGACGCTATTTCTCAACAATTCAGTTCAAAATTGCTCCCGGTCTTTGCACACGTTTTCTTCAAATGTCGTTGATGTATTTAGAAACAAAACCCGAAAGTGACTTTCCAAGGTCTTCAACAGTCTTGCGCTACCTTAACAAACAGGCTCTCTTTTGGGATCAGGATCCCGCCAAGCGCCAGTCGGAGGGATCCCGAAATGACCTCCTCGATGGTATCAGACTGCAGGCCCACGACCAGCCCGCGCGAGCCGTCCACGTCGAGGATCACAAAATGGCCATGGTTGCTCAGCTCCAGCTTGGCGGCCACAACAGGGAGAAACACAGGTGAGGGAAAAAAAAATGCAGCCACAAAGTATTCAGAACGGTTGATTCGTTCCACATTTTGTTGCCTATCAGCCCTAGAAGAGTTGTGGTCTGCCCCCTGGCGGCCATAGCGCATATACCAGAAGGAGCTTCACACCGTATGTTGAATTAAAAAACGAAAACTGCTTCTATTTCTGCATTCTTTTGAAATATGTAATTACTGTCAGTTTTTTTTTTTTAATTAAGTACCAAACTGCCTCAACAGGACTGAACATAACATGTGGAAAGACGCAAAGCTCCGCGACTACTTTGCGGACTTACGTGTCGTGGTTGACATGCTGGCGCGGCGGAACTCACCGTGTGCCACCGCCCGTCGTTGAGCTTAGGCCCGCCCGCCACGTTGACGAGGACGCCGCTGCGGCTGATCTGCATGAGCGGGACTCCGTCTTTCAGAGACAAAATAAACCAGTCCCTGCCGTTTTTGGTGTCCCCGTAGAAGATGGCGCCCTCCGGGTCGTACGTCCTGAGCTGGAAGGACGACTTGATGCTAAACGAGAGCACACAAAAGGTCACGGGAGGAGAAAAGAAGGAAATGAAAAAATAAATCAAATGTAATCAAAACACATCAAGCAATGGTAATAATAAGAACAATTGTAATCGATTGTATTATGACAGACCGAATAAATGAACCGATGGTAAATGTACAGTATGTGTCAAATTATTGATAGAAACATGAGTTTGACACCATTTATTTCAATCAAACAAAAATTGACATCCACCGTGGTTTATTTTATATTGAACAAAGACCTTTTTCAAAACATGTTTAAAATGGACTTTTTTACCCAAATACATTAACCAAATGCAAAATGTGAAACACATCCATTCATTTTTAATGTTATTATTGACAATAAACACAATGATCAATTATTGAACCAAATAAAAACATATCCAACAATGTATATCTAAATTTGTATTTAATCAGCATAAAAAATGTGACAGTAAATCAATAAGAAATGATTGTATTTTGATCATTGCTTTATCTAACGTGTCCTGTTGTGGTATTGTTATTTTGTGTTCAATGTTCTGTCCATCGCTTTGTTACAGCCGCAGCTGCTGTGAAAGTGCGATATAAATGAAGATGGATCGTATTCTGCGGACAGCAAATCTTGATTTCAACGACTCGAAAGTTGATTTTCCGCGGGTGTTCAAAAGCCACCGAATACGAGCCGTTACGAAGCAAATGAATGTCGTGAAGGAAGCATTCTTTCAGTAAATTGTCTGCCCCACCAAAGCACTGTGGTTAAAAAAAAAAAAAAAAAAACAACATCAGTTTTCTCTTTGTCTCTCTAGGGCAGATTTATACAAGAATAATCATCATCATAAGACAGTAAGCGATTTTATTTCCATGACTGATGAAGTGCAAAACAGTTCATCAAACTTTTGAGTTTGTGGCAGAACAAGTGATAGTAAAGCAAAGGTTGAACGTGTAAACTAGCCACTTGACTTGGATATTGTAACCATAAAGGGTATGATTAGAAATGTCATTGAACCGCACAGACAGTTCATGAATTGCG